ATATATATATATATACTATTTAAAAAATATGAGGGCAAAATTGGGTATCAACAATACTATTATTGTCATGGTGAGAAAGAGTGTAAAAGCACGAAGGGTGTTGCCGTGTCATTTTTGAGTGTAAAAGTATGAAGGGTGATGTCGTACCATTTTCAGAGAGTGTAAAAGCACGAACGGTGATGCCGTGCCAAAAGAGAGTTAAAGCACGAAGGGTGATATCGTGCCAATTTTTATTATTTATTTATCAAATTTTGGGAGGAATGAGAGTAAAAGCATGAAGGGTGGTGCCGTGCCATTTTTATGTTATCAGTTGCTCATTTTATTGTTGAGAAATTAATTGGCTGCTAAATAATACTTCTCCTGCTGAAATTATTATATCATCCCCCTTCGCATGTTCCCTCCCAAATTTATAAAGTGTTATTTATTGTATTATTGTTTCTTCGTATTTGTATATACTTGTACATGTTGTTTACGTACGTGTCCAGTCATAGCCTAGTAACTACTTCATCGAGGTTAAGCTCGACACTTACGGAGTACATGGGGTCGGTTGTACTCATACTACACTTTGCACTTTTTTTGCAGATTTTGAAGTTCGTCCCAACGGCGTACCATAGACTTGCTCGGATTCAGCTACCCATAGGAGACTTGAGGTATAACTGTACAACGTCCGCAGTTCTGAAGTCCCCTTCTATATTATCTTAGATGCATATTATCTTTCAAACAACTTGAATTTTATTCAGGCCTTTATTTGTATTATTCTAGTAGCTCGTGCACTTGTGATACCAGATTCAGAGATGTATTTGGATGATCCGTTTGTTATGGTCTTCCACACTTTATTTCAGTAATGAACTTCTATTTAATTTAATTTATTTAAAAATAGTTAAAATTATTCTAACGTTGGCTTGCCTAGCAAGTGAAATGTTAGGCGCCATCACAGTCCTGAAAGTGGAAATTTCAAGTCATGACACCCGAGGTACTACTCGCCTATTCAAGTTAACCTAATGCCTATATTCCTATGGAATTAGGATTAACAAGAACACATTAATAATTCCTGTATAGTAACCAAGCAAGGCGATTAGGTATATCCCTATCCTAACCGCAAATATGTTCCAGATGCTCGAGTTCAAGATCTTACTCTACTCAATCTTATATGCAATCTAGAATTTCCTCTCTCGATTTCAATCCTAGATTCGTAGATAGTATTCAATTGGTGATAAAGCAATTAAATAATTAAGCGCAAGATTGAATAAATAAACCCATATGATAAAATAAGAACAATTCAAGCTTCAACTATAACGTTCATGTAGCACCCAAAACTCTAGAACTAATAAACTATGAGGTTAAAGGAAGGGAAGACAAAGAAAACTTAGAATCCTTGCTCCCGAGTGTTCTGTGCATCTATTTTCCTCTCAAAGTGGTGTCTCCTCCTCTAAAATAGATTTAGACTTGCTTTTATACAAGTTGGGTAGGTCCTGGGCCGAAATAATCTTATCCCGGGTGAAGTAGGAGGGATTTCCCGTCACTAGCGCCCATGGTAGCGTGGGGCGCTATCCCTGGCACTAGGATTCTTGAGTTTCTGGAAAATGGGCCACAGGTAGTGCCCCACGCTACCTGTGGCGCTACAAATTTCCATTTTCCAAATTTTGCTCCTTTTTGGCTCTAATCTCGCACCTTTCGCCCCATATTGTATTCAGATGATTCCTACACATTAAAATACTACGAATTAACACAATTTATAACATTACACATCCAAAATTTACGAAACATAAATAAAATACGAGGAAATATGCATATAAATATACATACTTTAAGCTAAATATCAACACCCCACACTTAGACTCTTGCTCGCCCTCGAGCAATGGGACTATCAACTACACCTCAACAACGTACACATCTTAACTAGAGAGGAGCACTTCAATTTTTAACCATACACTCTACCCTTGACTCTGATCGATACCGGTAATCAAGCATGAACATATAATTTTCACATTCTTCCCGTTTTAAACATGCCCAAATATAACCATTTCAATTCAATCAATTCAAACAACCTATTTGTAACTACCCTACCTCAAGAACTGACTCGTTACCACTAAGCACCTTCAACCCGCGCACTCACCCAACAAGAGAAGTTTACAACATTACCAATCCTTCATGAGATCATGTGCCCTCACCAATAAACAAAAGAGTGAATATAGAATAGTCCACACATTCAAGTATGCCTTTTGAACATAATTTAAGGACATCACACAATTGAACAAATTCGCTCACTCTCATAAAGAATTTCATGTGCATCCCGTGGTTATATCATAAGCTTGCCCGTAGTGTACATCTATACTAATCTAAGCTAGCCAAATCTAGGATCAATAGGAGTTTATGGTTGTAATGCCGGCTAAGGGACGGACGGGTAGGATACATTTAAGAATAATTACTAACCCTCTTAAGCACTTTAATACACTACACTCACAAATCGAGCACATATTCTTCTCAACCAATTCACTCACCACAAACCATATACAACATAGCCTCTTTTCAATTGAGAACTTCTATATTTCCACTAGCACGAATTAGTAAGATTGGGAGGTGTGTATTTTTCTACATTATTTGAACTATGAGTTTTTTTGCTTCTTGCAATTTTCTCTTTCTTTTTCTTTTCTACACACCCTCCATACATTAAGGTTCATCGGCTAGTGACCTTTTTTCACAACTTTAGTGCACCTTAAGGGTCGTTTCATGGCTCCACTCGAAAGTAGCTCCCCAATCTGTCACCTTACTTCTTTTAGCGACTATGTGCCTTAGGAGGTAAAGGTTCAACAATATCCAATTAAGAACAAAATAGGGATATTGCTGGTACTGTGGGTGCCAAAGAAAAGGTATATAGGCTCAAAGGGCCCAGCGACGGAAAATTTTATTTTTAAGTGACAAGCCTATCTATGATCAAGCAAGAAACACCTACGTCATCTCCTAGACTAGCACAACTTAATGATTTTGTTTCGATTAACACACGCGGAAAGTTCTAGACTACACAGGATAGCACAGAAAATTACAAATCCTCACACACACATTGCACATGACTCAATCGAGACGGTTCTGTTCAACTCTTAAGTCAAGCAAGCACATATAATTGAGAATTTTTAAGCAATATTGCACTATGTGGCATACAAGTCAAACAACTGAGAAAATACGTCATAGAATAGGCTATTTATTTTACTCGAGCATCACAATTCAATTCAAATGTATGGGAAGACAGAGCGCATGCCCTAGCCTAATGTGTCAGCACCAAATACGCCAATAGGTATCTCAGAGCAACTCAATTTCTTCCTAACCTACTCTTAAAATATAAAGTATCTGGTTCGAGCTACACCCTTGGAAAAGAACCGGCGCTAAAAAAAAACCAAGAGATCCTACCTACCTATTCTAAAAAAAATCTTTTTTCATTTTTAAACATCATCTTGTGTAATATCATCCTAGAGTGCATTAAAACTCTATGATGATCATATCATATCTTATTTTATCTAATTCTGACTTTTGGCATGATTGTTAGAGATTGTTTTTTTCCTCAATAGGATTAGTAAAATAAGGATTCCCTTACTAGTACTTTCTTCTTTGATTATTCTTTTTATATTATTAACAAAATAAGCCATCGAGACACAATGTATGGTGGTATATTGGAGAGCACAAATAGATGGATTTGTTTTTTTGGCCGGGTAGTTGTAAATAAAATAACATTAGATTATAACTTCTTATATTTAAGTTTCAAAAACATAGTTGGTTCCAAATTTGAATAGAAGAGAGAACTGTTATATATGGATTGACAAATCAATGTAAAGCCCAAATATATACCGGAATCATATAAGTATAATGAATGAGCAAGATGAAACAAAAGAAAGATGATTTTATTGAATGACCATGAACTCAATATATACACAAGCCCATAACAGAGTTAGTGAGATAGTACTCCTTCTATAGTGGAACAAACCAGAAATCAAGGAACTAAACAACAAACTTCTATAATATTGGAAATAAGATAAATTTAAAATATAAGCTATAGTAAATTATAATTAACAACAGTAAATACTATTATATGCTAATACACCCCCTCAAGTTAGATGGTGTGCAACAACACCTAGCCTGGTAGAGAAAATCTATTCAAAACAAAGTTCAAGATTTTTGAGTGGGGATGGCCAAGGCGACGATGCCAGATTTGACGAGGAATCTTTGTAGAGGCAACTTGAACAATAGGCATATTAACAGTGAAGTTGGACCATTCATAGAGTCCGTTCCTATTCCGACCGGATACCAGCAGAGTCCGCATTTTCAAGTCCTTTACAGCGAAAAAAATGGAAAAAATTCAATTGAGGTCAAATTATCTTGACAAAATTTTGACACAGAGACAATGTTTTGTTTGATAGCAGGTGCACACAAAGTATCAGTTAGTTTGAAAGCATTATTTGATGCAACTAATTCAGTGGAACCAAGGTGAGTAATTGGGATTTTTTTTACCATCGCCCATAGCTATGCCTTCTGGACCATTATATTCTTCAAGATTAGTAGGCTCTGTGGTGACATGATGAGTAGCACCGGAGTCAACAATCCATTGGTTGGGTGTAGCTTGCATACCTGAAAGAAAATTTGCCTTTGCCTCTAAATGATTATGAGACTGTGACCTGCAAACATTTGCAGTGTGACCTTGTCTATTGCATAACTGACAGCGAACAGAGTTATTGATGTAACGTCCTTGTGAATGCGCATTAGTACGATTGTTGTAACGCCATTGTGAGTTATTGTTGGGTCAACGAGCACTGCAATTATTGGAATTGATGGATCTGTTGTGAGTTACCATAGCAGCAGTAATTGGTGTTGTTTCCTTCTTCACTTCTTCATGTTTGAGAAAGAGCTCATGATCAATCAGTTTGGCATATAACTCCTCATAAGAGATGATGGAATCTCTTGCTCGGATTGCAGCGGAAATCTCTTGAAAATCTGGCCCTAGGCCACTAAGAATTTTCACAATCAACTCATCATTGGAGATTAAAGCACCGACAGTGGCAAGCTCGTTGCAGAGAGAGCACACTTCATGTAGATATTCGGCGACTAGGCGAGAGTCCTTGGATACTCGTGCAAGCTGATCGCGAAGGCTAAAGACTCGCGTTTGGGACTTGTTGGCATAAGCCATATGGAGCGAGTCCCAGGAAAGTTTAGCAGTGGAGACAGCAGCCAAAGCTGCGGCTATTGTTGGATCGACAGAAGCCATTATGGAATTTTGGATCAACTGATCTTGACGGAACCAAATGTTGTAGTTTCGATTCTCCACTTGCCTATCATTTTGCGTGATAATTGTCGAAGGAGTGGGAGAAGAACCGTCAAGATGACCGAACAGATTGTGCCCACGCATGAACATGGAAATCTGGGCTTTCCATGTCGCAAAGTTATGGCTGCCAACAAGTTTTATCGGCAACTGCGACACAGGATTGAACTGAATAATAACACTAGAGTTGCTGCTAGTGGAGTCAACATTTGTTACATTGAGGGCCATTTTAAGTGCGTGTCGGTGGTGGTAGTCAGAGGATCGAAAAAGAAGCTCATGAGAGTCTAGGAGACTGCTCTGATACCATATAATGAATGGGAAAGATGAAACAAAAGAAAGATGATTTTATTGAATGACCATGAACTCAATATATACACAAGCCTATAACAGTGTTACTGAGATAGTACTCCTTCTACAGTGGAACAAACCAGAAATCAAGGAACTAAACAACAAACTCCTATAATATTGGAAACAAGATAAATTTAAAATATAAGCTATCGAAAGATATGCCTCTGCCCTCTTGCATATATTTTGCACCCAAGACAGAATGAAATTCCAGAGAATAGAGTGGTCTCTTTGACAATGTCCTCCAAGGCTCGTGAGGCAAGATAAGCTTACTCTCAGACCCATTGGCATCACCGGCCTCATGTAGCGATATCGCGCACTCGCCAGCTGGTCGACGAGAAGTGATGCATTCTGTAAAGTTCTAAGTAGTAGAGTATTAACCTCGAAGGGACAAAGACACCAATGAAGCTATAAGGATGAGGTTATATAAGAGATAATCGTAGATGAACAAGAAAAATTCAAACCACTAAACTCCTCGCTTAATCTATATTCTTGTTCACACCGTTAAAGAAGTACCTAACAAAGAGACAACAACAATAATAACATACTCTGTGTAATTTCACAAGTGAGGTTAGAAAAAGAAATGTGCATGCAGACCTTACCCTTACCTTGGGTGAGATAGAGATGTTTTTCTAACAGACCCTCGGCTCATACCTAACTTTGAAAAAAAAGGATAATACCTAACAAATAGGGGAAGAATTAGGAAAGACTAGCTTCCGGCTTTATCACTAATAGAAATTCGGTCAAAACCGACCACGGCCAACCGACCGAAGTCAAAAAACCGATCGAAGTCGGTCAGTTTTTCAAAATATTTTATTTTTTAATTTTTTTTACGAAACCGACCAACTTCGGTCGGGTTTTTGTTTCCGCAAAAATGTGGAAAACTATTTTAGCGTCCCGCAAAATTTATTTTTTAAGAAACTGACCGATTTATCATATAAAATAAATTAAAATTAATATTCAAAATATCGACCGAAATCGGTCGGTAATTTTATATTTTTAATAAAATCGACCGAAATCGTTGGTTATTTTCGCGCGAAAATACAAATAATTAAAGAGTACAAATAAAATAAAATAAAATAAAGTCTTAAACCAAAGTGTACCAATGGTCTAGTGGTAGAATAGTATCCTTCCACAGTATAGACCCTAGTTTGATTCCCAGACGGCGTATTTTTTAATTGTATAATTAAAAATACCGACTGAAGTCGGTCGGTATTGTGAAATTTAATTAACCTACCAAAATCGGTCGGAAATTGCGTCCGACTTCGGTCGCTATTTTTTACCGACCAACCTAATTTCGACGGACTAAAGTCGGTTGGTTTTTTCAGTTTTTCAACCGATTTCGGTCGATATTTCTAGACGTAGTGTTATCATTATTGCTCTTATTGTTTGTGCATTTTACAAGGCGTATGGCATGCCAATATTTTTTGAGGATCACTGCTTTTCAAAACTAGCGACCAAATGCAGACCACACTGCTACTTATATTTGCTTGTTGTAATTACAGTTTCATAGTCATTAGGTCACATTTGGTTATTGGTAAAATTAGACAAGAGTGATTATAACGCATTACATATATAGGGTGTGTTTAGAAACCATAGTGTAATATATGTTTGATGATATGGAAACTATATTCATATTTATTGTATTATTTTAAAGATTCAAATGATGTATCTAAATGTATCGTGCATGGAATGGGTAGAATAATGTTATGTTCCGCTTGATGCTTGTTTCTGGCGTGGGTGCCGATCACATAGTTATCCCTAAATTTGTGTGTGACAACTGGTTGCTAGTGGTTTCCTTACGTTAGAAAGAATCTTTGAAAGGTACGGGATTGGGTTGGGAACTATGGCTTTATGTTTTCACAATGGTTATTTGTTCTTTTTCGTGTTTTTCTTCCTTTTTGAACTCTTATAACTAAAATTGCACGCATATCAATTTAGTAAAGGAATATGTATAGACATACATAGACCCTACTTTGAAGTAGGTAACTCGTTCTATCCCATCTGGGACGATGATTTCGACATTGGAGCAGTTGCTGTTCTCCTTCACAACAGGGATCACTACTAAAGAAACAGAGAAAATCGATCGCCATAACCGACCGATGTTGGTCGGTAATTGGCAAAAATCGACCGAAAACTGACCGATTCGTGGTGGTCGGTGATCGTAACGTCGGTAGAGCTAACCAACCGACTTTGGTCCGTATTTACCAACCGATTTCGACCGGTCAATTAAATTTAAAAAATAATTGCCGGAAAAACCGACCGAAGTTGGTCGGTATTTTAATTATGTAATTAAAAATGCACCATCTAGGAATCGAACCAGGGTCTGTACTGTGGCAGGATACTATTCTACCACTAGACCATTGGTGCATTTTGTTTTAAGACTGTTTTTATTTCAATAATACTCTTTAATTGTAGTTTCGCACGAAAATAACCAAGAGATGTCGGTCGATTTTATTAAAAGATAAAATTATCGGCCGAATTAAACGACCGATTTTGGTCGGTTTTTTAATATTAATTTTAATTTATTTTAAATAAAAAACGACCAAAGTTGGCCGGTTTCTTTAAAAATAAATTTCGCGGGACTCAAAAATAGTTTTTCCCATTTTTGCGCCAAAGAAAACCGACTAAAGTTGGTTGATTTCGTAAAACAAATTAAAAAATAAAATATTTTGAAAAACCGACCGACTTCGGTCGTTTTTTTGGCCGATCAAAATCGGTCGGTCGACCGCGGTTGATTTTTGCCAAATTTCTAGTAGTGATGCTAGAAGGACGAATAGAGGAGGGGTACTTACAAACATGCCAAAACCTGCCACTTGTGGAATTTGCAGGTATTTTTTGCTCCTAGAGATCGGATGTGGTACTAAGATGAAGAGGTACGATGGTGTTTACAGTTGGTGGTTCAGACTTGACGTCAACCTCTGAGGTTTTATTTTTCTTTGAGCCTCCACCGAAGAGAAGACCAATATTTTCGAAGATAGTAGTATAAGAAGACATGATGGTAAAAGATGAATAAAGAAGTTCTTGTTGAGAAAGTTGAATGTTGTATAAAATTTCTAAGGAAACTCATAGAGAGAGAAAAAGTTCTGAAAGTAGTGAAAGTGAAGAAGTAAAAACGAATAGTAGAAGAGAAGTTATAAACGACAAAAATTATGGTCATGATTACCTCAAAACCGGCGAAAATACTTGCTGAATAATGGAGCAACACGTGTTCGGGGTATTAAATATGAAGAGACGTGCGTCCTTTCAAGTGTCAGAGGCCGTTCAGGAACTTTCCCGCCAAGAAAAGAATTCTCATCTATTTTCCGGTAATACTGAGTTGCATCACCGAAAAGTAGGGGGACTATCTGTATGGGGTGTAATTGGTTGATAAGAGGTGGTCAAATGGCAAGTTGACACGTGGAATCGAAAACTAGCAATATGTGAGTTGGCAAATAAATGGCACCGGGTGCGAAGTGTGTAACCAGCACTAGATGGATCCCGAAGGAAGCATAGCCAATAATAAAGATTCAAAGGTTTGACATCGAATAGAATTCAATGAGTAGCCGTTATAGAGAATATCTGCATTCAAAGCCAGATGCACCCATCAATGACGTTTTTATTCTCATTCAAGAGGAGTTTGATTTTAGGATCTTGTCTCCCTAAGTATGGGCTATAAATAGGAGGATTAACAATAATTGTAGGACATGAAATATTCCACACACAAAAGTTGTAATATATTGTAATATATTCTCTCATTACACTAAAACCAAACACTTGAAACATTATTGTTCTTGTCATCGGAAAGGCTAAGTCCTTACACTACAAGAAATTCGCTTAAAACCGACCAAAAATACTGACCAACGTTGGTCGGTTATGGCAAATTACCGACCAAAATGCGACCATTATGGTGTGGATGGTGTTTTGATGGTCGGAATAGCTTACCGACCAACTTTGGTCGGTATATTAAAACGGCCATCTGACAAGTTTAATTACTTACCGACCAACTTTGGTCGGAAATATATTTTATTAATTTAATTTTACCGACCAAAGTTGGTCGGTTTAACTAAATTATATTTTTTTTATTAATTATTAAAATTAAAAAAAAACGACCAATTTTGGTCGGTAATTGAAAATATATATTTTTAAAAATTAATTAAAATTAAACATTACCGACCAACTATGGTCGGTAATCGCAACAATGCAAGCAAAATACTGACCAAAGTTGGACGGTAGTGTTGAATTCTGGGAATTCAATGTTCATTAACCGACCAACTTTGGTCGGTATTTTGGAATAATTTATTTTTTTTTTATTAAAAATCGACCAACTTTGGTCGGTTTTTCTGGGTTTAATTTTGGCATAAAATGCCTGTTTTGGCAGCTAAACCACCTGCCAGCATACCAATACAACAACACAACAACAACAACAACAATAACACAACAACAACAACAACAATAACACAACAACAACAACCAAAACATTCAATAAATACTTTAAAACTAACAAATTAAAGTTCAATTGAACATAAAAATCCAAAACCAAGTTAAAACTAATTACAACTAGTTCAAAACTAGTTCTATTTGTCTAGTTCAAAGTATATAAAAGTCAAGGGGTGTTTTGTACAACATCATCATCATCGTCTGATGAACTTTCATCTACAAGACGATATAGAGAACAGTCTTGTGGAGGACGGGAAGCACGATCACGGGGAGGACGGGAGGAACGATCACGAGCAGGGCGGGAGGAACAATCACGTGGAGGTCGACCCTCTGGAAATGACTCACGAGATCGAGGAAATGGAAAAGCTCCACTAGATAGGAGAGTTTTGATCTGAGCTTGCATGCCAAGGAATTGAGCATCTCTAAGCCTTTCTCTTTCCTTGGCCGCTTCTAGCTCTGATGTG